TCCCCCATTCTTACCCTCTACTTCTATTGATATTTAATTATTCAAATACTGATATTTAATTAGGTTTCTAGAGGAAATAGGCCTTTCTTGTCCAAGTTAACCCCTAATGGCGAAAACAGCTCAATGCACAACTCCTTCATTCATTCCCATTATGATCCAGGAACTGACCTAGGTGCTCAGAACAAAACTGTAAACAAGACAAGTCTCTCCTTTAATTGAACTGCCATTCTGCTCAGAGAGACAGCCAAACAAAAATTAAGTCAAAGCAACTTGACTGGTGTTCCCACCACTATTCTAGGATATTTTTTTTTGCATGTTTTCTCTCTGAGGACTTCCATAGGAGCCTGGATGCCATCCTACAGTAATTAAGCTCTGTCTGGGCTCTGAGTCAGAAAGTCTCAGGTCTACTGGCTCTACCACTTCAAGCTGGGTGACCAAGTTGCCTGACCTTTCTATGTCTCAGTTTCTTCATTTGTAAAATGGGGATAATAATAATAGACGTCTTGTGAGGATTAAAGGCTTAGTACAGAATCCCCACATAATAATAACTCAGTTCATGTTTGCCACTGTTCTTCTTTTCTGTATATACTACTCCTTGCACATTTTTTCCCAAAGCACCCTTTTCCAGTGCACAGCCACCCCCTTTCCCACTCCTATGAAAATGATAGTGGGAGAAACTTAATGCTGGGAAATTTCTGTTTTTCCACAATTTTTTTCCTGGAAATCTCAGTAGATTCCCTAAGCTCAGCTCACAGAATTACAGTTTGTCCTTGGAACATATATTATTCACACGTTTGAATACACTTAACTACTTTTTATAGAACTCCTCCTTTGCCCGAAGGTGGTTTTGTAGTTTAGCATAACTTTAGAGCAGGAGTACTGTAGGACACCCCTGTCACCTAGAAGCTAATAACTAAACAACCATTTGATTAGGAGGCCCGCACATTTTACTGATGGTAAATTTAACATGACATATTCCTCTTTGATGGTTCTGTAGTTGTACAAACCTGGGAAGATATGTGATGTCAACATAAGACCTGGGTTCAGGAGAGCAAGGAAGGCATCTCTTTTGCTTTCTCTACAGTACCCGGCACAGCACCCAGCACGTTAGTTCCCTGGCATATAATAGAAGCTCAATCAACACTACTTGGCAGATGTGTGATAATGGGCAAGTTACTTAACTCTTTGAGCCTCAATAGTAAATAAATACTAATCCACTTGGAAGGGTTTGTATAAGGAGAAAAAGAACGAGTCAGTAAAGCCCTACTCAGTGCCTGACACATGGCAGTTGGTTCTCTTCCCCTTGCACTTCTTGTATATTTCCTACACTTCCTACCCGCCCCCCGACCCTCCCACCCCCAAATTTGAGACAGGGACTTTGTCTGCCCAATGCCTAGCACGGGATCTTTTTTTTTTGGCTGCATCGGGTCTTCATAGCTTTGTGCGGGCTTTCTCTACTTGTGGCGAGTGGAGCTACTCTTAGTTGCAGTGTGCGGGCTTCTCATTGTTGTGGCTTCTCTTGTTGTGCGGGCTTCAGTAGTTGTGGCACGCCAGCTCCGCAGTTGTGGCTCTCAGGCTCTAGAGCACAGGTTCAGTAGTTGTGGCGCACGGGCTTACTTTGCTCCACGGCGTGTGGGATCTTCCCAGACCAGGGCTTGAACCCATGTCCCCGGCATTGGCTGGCAGATTCTTAACCACTGTTCCACCAGGGAAGTCCTAGCACAGGATCTTATGCATAGTGATAGCCTCAATTTATTCAGTCATTCAGTGAATCTTTACACATCAAAAGTGCACAAAAGGGCTTCCCTGGTGGCGCAGTGATTGAGAGTCCGCCTCTCCATGCAGGGAACAGGGGTTCGTGCCCCGGTCCGGGAGGATCCCGCGTGCCGCGGAGCGGCTGGGCCCGTGGCATGGCCACTGAGCCTGCGCGTCCGGAGCCTGTGCTCCGCAATGGGAGAGGCCACAACAGTGAGAGGCCCGTGTAGCCCACCCCCCCCAAAAAAAAAAAGTGCACAAAAACTTAAAGTTGAGAGAGAGCCCCAAGTAATTCAGGAACCCCAAGTAATTGATTCAGTAATTCAGGAACCCCAAGTAATTGATTATGACTGAAGCAGAGGCTTCGAGGAGAAAATGATGAGAAAGAGCTAGAATGGTTAGCCCAGATTAGCTCTCAAAGAGCTTTGTAGGTCTTATATGAATTTTGGACTCTATCCTGTAAGGCAGAGGATTGCCACTGAACCAAGGAGTGGCAGAAAGTTTTTTTTTTTTTTTGGGGGGGCCTCGCCATTTAGCATGTGGGATCTTAGTTCCCTGACCAGGGATCGAACCCCTGCCCCCTGCAGTGGAAGCACACAGTCCTAACCACTAGACCACCAGGGTATTCCCAGAAACTTCTTTTATTTTGATTTTATTTTAGAATGGTTTGTGGTTCTCGGGCTTTAGTGTGTTTAAGAATCACCAGGGGGGGCTTCCCTGGTGGCGCAGTGGTTGAGAGTCCGTCTGCTGATGCAGGAGACACAGGTTCGTGCCCTGGTCTGGGAAGATCCCACATGCCGCGGAGCGGCTGGGCACTGCAACAGGAGAGGCCATGGCAGTGAGAGGCCTGCATACCGCAAAAAAAAAAAAAAAAAAAGGAATCACCAGGGAAGCTTGTTAAAAAAGAGGGATCCCAGAGCCACACTGCCCGAGACTATGCATTTAAACCAGCACGTTAGAACTTCCTTCGGGGGCCAGTGGTGAAGACTCCCTGCTTCCACTGCAGGGGGCACAGATTCGATCTCTGGTCAGGGAACTAAGATCCCACATGCTGTGTGGTATGGCCAAAAACAAAAACAAACAAAAAACCCAGCACCTTAGATGATTCTGATTCACTTATATTCAGACACAATTGGGACATACCTTAAAAACAAAAGATCAATAGCTCTGGGGAAACCTGACTTGAAGTTAGGCTTCCACTGCCTCTCCTGATCAATCTGCCTTTCTTGGCCTGTCCTACAATTAGGCCTTAAGCCTCCTCTTCCCCATGGCAGACCAGCTGGAAGCCCAGCAAATGGAGCAGACCCAAAGACTGGACAGTGGCTGCAGAGAAGTAGACAGATTTGACAGGTATTTAGAAGGTGGAATTGAGCAGACTTGGAGATTGACTGTATGGGGAGTGTGTGAAGGGGTCAAGGATGACCCCTGGCTTTTTGGCTTGGAGCAATTTTTTGTTGTTGTTGTTGTGTTTTTTTGTTTGTTTGTTTTTTGAGCTGTGCAGCACAGCATGCGGGGTCTCAGTCCTACAGTGGAAGCGTGGAGTCTTAACCACCCTGGACCACCAGGGAAGTCCCTGGAGCAATGTTATAATGGTGTATCATACAGTGACCGGGCAACTTGAAAGAGAGGGGCAGGTCTGAGAAGTAAATTGAGGAATTTTATTTTATTTATTTTTATTATTATTTTTTGCGGTACGCGGGCCTCTCACTGTTGTGGCCTCTCCCATTGCGGAGCACAGGCTCCGGACGCGCAGGCTCAGTGGCCATGGCTCACGGGCCTAGCCACTCCGCGGCATGTGGGATCTTCCCAGACCGGGGCACGAACCCGTGTCCCCTGCATCGGCAGGAGGACTCTCAACCACTGCGCCACCAGGTAAGCCCAAATTGAGGAATTTTAGTTGAGATTTGCTGAGTTCGAGGTGCCTCTAAGACATCCAAGTGGAGATGTTCAGAAGTCAGTTGGATTTATAGGCTGGAAATTCAGAGAAAGATCTGGACTAGAAATCTGGACTTGAGAATCATTAGCAAATAGATGGTAATAGAAGTGGGGTGAAGTCATTTCAGGAGAGGGGATAGAATGGGAAGAGAAACCGGTCCAGAACAAAACCCAAGGAACATTTAAGGGAAGGGCTGAGAAAGAAAGAAATTGCAAAGGGATCAAGGACAGGCCAGAGTCATAGCCCAAAGTCACAGGGAGGGAGTTCAAGAGGAGTGACGAACTGGGAAGCATCCTGGACTCAGCAAAGAGGTCTGCGGTGACCTTGTAGAGAGCAGTTTTAGTGGAACCAGGCACCAGATTGCAGTGCGTTGAGGAGTAAGTGGGAGGTGAGGGAGTGGAGACAGCTGGCGTGCACATTTTTTTCAAGCTATTTGGCCAAGAATGGAGAGAGATACGGTGGTAACTTCAGAAGGAACTAGAATTGAGAGTCTTTTTCTACGGTAACGGCTAATGTGCGAGTGGAAGAAAATAAAGGACATAATCAATAAAACCTACAGAGAGGAGTGGGAGACATCCACGGCACAGATGTTAGGATTGTGCTTAACACAAGAGGGACCTACTTCTATTTCTGAACGGATGTAAGGAGGAAGTGATCGATTGGTTTGGAAGCTTGATATCGGGTGCTTCTCTCTGATGGATTTTGCTTCCTCTAGGAGGTTGGGAGCCAGGCAATGAGTAAGGAGTTTGTAGGATGAACCTTTTTCCTCAGCTAGTCAGGGTTTCCAGCAGGACGGAAGTAGTCACGGCTCTAAGGCAAGAGCCTGGTGGGAAGCGGGTTGAGGCTGAAGCTTTAAAATCCAAGGGAAGAGAGGCTGACTGAGACGAAGTGTGATGTTCCTCTGACCCTGAGGAAAGCTGTATTTGGGCCACCGAATGAGAGGTTATTTTCCCAGAACCTCGTGCTCAGGCTTTGATTTAGGCTCCCCCTTTCTCGTCTAGTCAGTCTGCCTTCCACGTCTTGTGTGTCACGTCTAGGCCTCAAACCTCCCCGTCCCCAACGAGGACCAGCTGGAAGCCATTTTGATTAAGCTCCACCACAGAAGGAGGACAATACAGCCCCGCCCAGAGCCAGGCGCGCCCCCGCGACGGCCCGGGTGCGCGTGTCCGCGCCTCTTCCCGCCGGCCTGGCGGGCGCCGGGCCCACGCTGGGGCGGTGCGGGGCGGGGGGTGGCGGTGGTTATGTAAGCGTTGCGCGCTCCCGCGAGGCGGCAACCAATGAGGAACCCCGGCGGCTCGGGCTCGCGCACGCAGGATGGGGGGAGGGAGCGCACGACGTGCGCGCGCCCTCTCCCTCCTCCACCGCTGCCGCCTCCTTCTTCTGCCGCTCCTGGTGCTGCTTGTGTGCTCGTTCGGTGCGGACCTGGTACCTCTTTTGTGAAGCGGCAGCTGAGGAGACTCCGGCGCTCGCCATGGCCGACGAAAAGCCCAAGGTGAGCTCGGCGCCGGCCTCCGCGCCTCGCCGCGCGGCCGGCGTCACGGCGCGGGCCGGGGTCCGGCCCGAGCCCGCCGCGGGCTCCCCGCGCCTTCCCGGGCCCCCCACGGGGCGGCCGCGGCTCAGGCCCCGGCGCTCCGCGCCATTTTCTTCCCTCCCCTCTTCCTCCCTCCCGCGCGGGAGGAGGCCCCACCGCCCTCCCCCGCCCCCGGCCGCCTCGGAGTGCGCGCCGGGCGCGAGTTGGGCGGGCGAATCGCGGACACCCGCTGGCCCACCGGCCGCGAGCTGGGCTTCTTGGGCCTTCTGGCCGGGCGCGCGTGACGAGGGGCGTTAGGGCGCGCGGTGTCCCCACCCTCGGCGGACCCCGCGCCGGGCCGCGGCGGGGGTTGCCGCCTTGGCGGTGCCGGGCCGCGGCGGGTGTTGCCGCCTTGGCGGTGGCGAGGAGTTCCCTCCTCCCCGGGCTTCCCCCCTCCGGGATGGGGGCCGCGGGCATCTGGGGACCCCTGCCCTGGGCCTCACTGACCGGTTGAGGGCTCGGGGCGAATCAATGGGCTGCTGATGGGTTGGAAGCCGGATGCCCGTCGGCCGTCGTGAGGGGCCGGGGTTGGGGGATTCCCGGGGAGTATTTCCCACATTTTTTGTCGGAATGGGCAGTGGCTTTTCCCTGGGTGCCAAATAACCCCTAACTTGCCGAGACCATGTGGTTTCGAGAAGTTGGAGGCAGATAGATGTACGAGCAGAGAGACTTCGTAGGGCTTAACTTTTCAACGCGGGTTTTGAGGCTCCAGGAGGCTTTTCCCTGGATGACTTGGGCACACACTTCTTCCTGGCACACGAGACTTTCTTTTGGTTTGTTTTGTGACACCCTCCCCCCCCTTTCCATTCTGAAGTGGTTTAGGGGCTACAGAATTCCTTCTACACTTGATTTTGATGAACTTCAGATTGGGTCAGAATCTGCAAGGAAGACTTGTGGAATAAGTCTACAAGGAATAAAACTGTGCATTTGACTCATGACAACAAAGGGGAGGGGAGGATAAGCTCATAACTAAAAATAAACAAAAATGAAGCTGCACATAGAGGCGAACAATAATAGTGGTTCTGAGTTATACCGCTGCTTGGGAGAGAATCAAAGGATATTCCTCAATTAGGTGGATTTTTTTTTTTTTAATGTAGCTTGAGATTTGTTATTAAGCTGAATTTGGTAACTTTTAAACGAGATTTGTAATGAGTTTGAATTTCAAGCTCTAGATTTTTTTCTTGCATTCTGTACTCAAAGCATTTTGGAAAGAGAAAGGATGCTTATTTTTAATCTTTTTAGAGGAAGGACATATTTTGAGAGTGATACAATATATGTCATTTAAAAAAACTCAGATTCAAGAGGGCATTGCAGTAAATTGAGGGAGATCCATCTTTAAAAACCAGTTGTCGACACTGATAGTATTGGATGTAGGCTGCTTTTCTGTTTCTGTGACATCTATTTAATATTGTTGCTTCAGGGTTTCTTATCTTTCAGATTGATTTCAGCAGCTGCAAACAGCTGTATGCTGTGTTATAAGAATGAGAAACCTGTTGATTTCTGAAGCAACTTGGGCTGCTGCTGCTTTAAAAGGTGTTTGTTCTTCACATTTTCCAAATTCTACTTTTATTTTTCTTTCAACAGGAAGGAGTCAAAACTGAGAACAACGATCATATTAATTTGAAGGTGGCGGGGCAGGATGGTTCTGTGGTGCAGTTTAAGATTAAGAGGCATACACCACTTAGCAAACTAATGAAAGCCTATTGTGAACGACAGGTGAGGAACTGACTTGTATACTTCAACTGAATAAAACGTATTTTAAAAAAACAAACCTTATTTTCTTGAGAATAGAAACCAGAATAATATATCAGTAGATTATCTTTGGTAGAATGAATATGTACCTATATACTTGATATATCACAATTTTATCATACACTTGGTTTGTTGATTCTTCATAAAATCCCTTAGGGTGGTTAATATCACATATGATTCTAGTTCTATGCCAGAAATGCATCAAATTATTTTCACAACATGTGGTTTGTTCCCAAGGGGATGCAGTTTTACTTTTATAAGAAAATAAGAACGAACTTGATAAAATTTCTTGTCAGGCTCTTTTTTAACAATTTAAAATTTGTTTTGTGTCAAAACAATTTACTTCGGGTGTTTTAACCAATTTGGAAATAAATGTGAGTTTAAGGACATTGCAATTTTGCCGAAGCATGTAAAACTGTAATATTTTCTTTTTACACTAATAGTAGAGGTCAAGAGATTTAACCTCCTGAGCCAAGCATACACATTCCTGTATTATAAGGATATTTGAATTTTACAAAGAAAATAGTAAATTTTTTACCTCAGAAGAGGAAGTAGAAATGAACAGATGCTGGGAGGTAAATGTAAACTTTAAGACAAAGAAGCTTTTTTATGTGATGTTGAGTCTGTAACAATACAAAGGTAATTTTAAAGATGACTTTTGCAAGTATAACAGAAACTCTGGTAGATCAGTTAATCCACCAGTAACCTGGCAGAAGTATTTTTCTTGTTCAACCCTGGATGTATAATATATAAAAGTTTGGAAAATTATTTTATTAGACCAAAACAACTTATCTACATTGCAAATTCACCTCCTAAAAATAGGTTCAAAACAGAGTAAGGTTAAAACCTCTACAAGTTGGGAAATTGAGTTTGAGTTGATACTTGGGCCTTCTTCGTGAGACCGAAGGGCTTCTTAAACTGAAGATTTAAACTTTTTTTGAGTTTGAAGCTTTATTTTATGCCTAGTTTATTTATAACATAATAAGAGTACTGTGGTTATAATTTTTTATCTTCATAAACTTTTTCATAGTTCCTTACAAAGATATGCCCTTCAGTGTACTTTCATTTGAAGAATTCTGGTGAAATCCCCTAACAGTTAGTAAATATGTGCTTATTAATTGTGCTAAAGAATTTTTGCACTGGTATCTACCATATTTGAATACTAGTACTCCTTCAGGTTCCAGGGGAATTTTAAAAGGTAATCATTTTGTAGAATGTTTATGTAGCAAAACCTTATACAACATAGAAATTCATGCTCAGATTTGGTGACTTTCAACAAAATTCTCTGCATATCCTCACTTTTCTCTAATTACTATTAAATTTTAGCTTTTAATTGGTCATATTTTTCAACACTATGAAAATTTTCGAACTTAGAGAAAAAAGTTTACATTGAATACCCATGAGTCTACTGCCTAGATTAAGTGTTACCAATTTACTATATACATCTATTGATACTCTCTGTCCATCCTAAAATGGTCATATTTAAGACTTCCCATATTTCCTGTAGGGCCCCCAAAGGAGCTTTTTATCTTTTTTTTTTTTTTTTTTTTAACCAGATGCCTGTGTGCTGGGGCATTATACTGTGTGCCAGAAAAAGTAAAGCACATCCTGTGTATTCTAGATTATCCTTATAGGAAATTGTCTTATAAGATCTAGTTAGTGGGTCAATCAAGAATTTTTTAGTTTTCCTGCTATGTTAAAGTAAGTCTCCTATATTACCCAGTGTAAATAAAGTTTTCCTTTATTTTTTTCAGTTATTAGGTATAAGATTGGGATTATATTTGACTAAACTTGTTGGGTCCACTCTTAACTTGCACTAGAGGAAAAAGAACGTTGGTAATCCATAAAAAATATAATTCCACTGCATATCTGTTGGAATGCAAATGTGAAAATATTATCCAGGAAGAATTTGGAAAGATGTTTATTCCCATTTTCCTCTTAAATTGGGGATAACCTCAGAGTTGAGTGAAACAAGATCCCTGTTTACTTTTCAAGTGGTTTCTCTGGTTCTCAGGAAGAGGGAGTTGAAGTATCATCTAACTGGGCTGATTCCCTGCTTTCTAAGTGTAGTTACAGGTTATTAAAAAAACCAAAATATTTCTCCGATCTGATTTGCATAGCTGCAGTTTTTTTGGCAGGTGAGACTTCTTGACCAAAGATTTTTCCTATCAAGATGAATTGAATGCTCATATTTACTTTCTAATGAACTCATTTGGTGTTGGATCTCTGGAGGAGTTCCAGTGAATGCCTAATAGGCATCTAAAACTAAACATGCAAAGCAGGACTCTTGTTTCTACTAGAAATCTTTCTCTGTTGTCCCCACTCAGTAAATAGCACCATTCTGCATCTAGTTGTCAAAACCTTAGGGTCCTCCTTGATGATGCATCATAACAAATAAAATCCATCAGCGAATTGTTCTCTATCTAAACTTGGTCCAGCACAGTAGCCACAAGCCACATGTGAGTGTTTACCACTTGAAGTGTGGCTAGTGCAAATTGAGATGTGCTGTAAAGTGTAAAATGAATGCCAGATTTTGAAAACTTGGTGTGAAAAAAGTTAAATATCTCAATTTTTTAAATGTTGATTATATGTTGAAATGGTAGTATTTTTAAATATGTTGAATTAAAACTTTTATCAAACTTTTACCTTATTTTTAACTTTTTAATGTGGCAATCTGAAAACTTAAAATACCATATGTGGCTGACATATTTCCATTGCATAGTGCTGAGCCCGCAACCATTTTTATTCTATTCCTGATTAACTACTACCTCAGGGACTTCTCTGATTAATTCAAAGTGCCTTTGTTGCCATCACTGAGTCCTCTCACTCTTTTTTGTTTGTTTGTTTTGATTTGTTTTGCATTGATTATTGTCTGTATTTATCTCTCTGCACTAAAATGTAAGCTTCATGAGCATAGGGCTGTTTTATTATATGACTATTTTTCTAGAGCCTAGACCAGTGCTCAGCATATAGAATGTGTTCAAATGCTTGTAAAAGAATAGAGAACATTCAAACCTAGTATTTCTGTAGGTTGGTTTCTAAGTAAGTTGTTCATTCACATGTAGAGTTAGACTTTGCCCACTTTATATTAGCCACATATCCTTCAGGCAACTGATTGAGAGCATACTATTCCATTCTAGTGTAAATCCACCCCAACATTGTTTACTAGATTGTCAAGTGGTTTCAGAGAGCACAGAATAATTGGTTTAGTCCAGTTCGTTTTTGTGAAATGAAGAAATGGGGTCCTGAAGAGAGAACCTCACACAGCTCTTCTGGAGCACAACTCTAAAGCTCAGGGATGAGATTTATACAGAAGAGGAAACCAAATACTGGTTTAATGCAAATTCATTGTTTGAATTTACATGGTTTATAGAATCTTAAAGGCAAGTTTCCTGAATTTTGGACTTTTGATCTCTAGCAAAATAAAAGAGCTTTTATTGATAAGGAAAAGTGTAAAAACAGGTGGCAATAAAGGAATACAATTTGCTTGTGTTCTGCTGGCCCTGCCTTCCCTTCGCCCTTATTTTGAATGGCCACGCCATTGGATGTAGTGAAGGAAGAACCCAGCATATAGAAGATGCTAAGAGTTTTGTTGAAGCAGAGTCTCCAATGGAGTGTTTGTAAGTAGATAATACTTAGTATTAATGGCTTGGCATTGAATTCTTGGTTACTTTGTGTAATTGCAAACTAAATTTGAAAGTCATGAGGAATGAATTAGTTTATGGCTGTCATGTACCTGGTGGGGGATTGCTTGTATTCCTTAAGACAAGGGCTAGTCTGGAAGTGGTATGTGTCAAAGACCAGAATGTTGTGTTGTGTTTTGTTTAATATTTATTTATTTACCTATGTATCTATCTGCACCGGGTCTTAGTTGCGGCATGTGGGATTTTTGTTGCAGCGTGTGGGAACTTTTTAGTTATGGCATGCGAGATCTTTAGTTGCGGCATGCGGGATCTAGTTCCCAGACCAGGGATCGAACCTGGGCCCCCAGCATTGGGAGCGTTGGAAGCGTTGGAGTCTTAACCGCTGGATCACCAGGGAAGTCTCAAAGACTAGAATTTTAAAGGAAAGCAGTATGATTTTCACGTGACAGGTAGTTTTAGAGACCAATTCAGTGAATCCTTGTTAAATAAGGGAATACAGTTGTTAAACAAGTGTTCATTGAACACTTTATTTCAATATTTTTAGTCCTAGGAACTCAGTTTAATTTCTCTTAAATATCAATTAAAACAGGGAGTTTTTGTAACGAGAATTATAGTTTGTAATTTGAGCATGATACAGGAATGGCTTTGTGTAAGATGCTTCCAAGAAAGGTATTTTTCAAGTTAAAATATTCACAGCATACCTCCAGAGAAATCTTGTCCTCATTTGGTTGCAGTTACCAGCAACTTTACTGTTCCGCTCTTTTCCCCTTCTCCCCGCTCCTGTGTCCGGTAGGTGATTCTTAATAATGGAGTCCCCTTTGCAGAAAGGGGCATATTTAAGCTCATTTATCTCCTTAAATGCACATAAAAATTTCTTGACACTCCCTTTTTGTAATAAAGCTTCTCCTCAACTTAGCTTTAGGTTTATTTTCAAATAAAAACAGAAAAGGAAGCATATTTAGATACTGCTTTTCATCCATTTTATTCCATCAGTATTTAGCACCTACCATGTGCAAGATATACAGTATGTAACTAAGGCTAGATTTCTATCCCTACTGGAGCTTATTTTCTAGTATAAGGTTGACTAATAATTGCAGACTTGTGTAAGTACTAAGGAGAAAAAAGCAGGTGCTTCTTTAGAGCTGTTCCAGGATTTTCTTGGATGTGGATTGTGGTCTTATAGATGGTTTTAGGGACCAGTTATTGCCTTGTGTTTTGTTGTAAATGTCCTCACTGCCCAAGGATAAGAACTTGAATATGCCTATGGTGTGCCTAGTATTGTGCTGGGCTGGGGCTTAGGTTACTCTTACATAGTGGTAGGAATTGTTTGGATAGACATGAAGGGAAGGTAGCTTTTAGGCAAAGTTTTATTTTAATCATTACACCTTTTTTAGGTGACTTCAGTTTTCATATTATTAATGGGTTTTGTTTATGTGTTTGTTTTTGGAGCGCTTTTTAATGTGCGTTGAGGAATGTTGACATGTGCATCTGTTGCTTCAAATTTCCTTTCAGTATCTAACTCGTTTAAATGCACTGTTTGACTCAAGGTATGATATGTTCAAGCTTGAAGTAGCTATGGTCTCAAAAACAGCCCTTTTTTTTTTTTAGTCCTTTTTAAGAAAAATCATTTTTCCAATGAAAATCAAACATAGTATAGTTTAAAGAAAGTGAAAATCACTCCAAATCATTTAACCAATATAGAAATGTTAACATATTGATAATCATTTATTTAGGTCTCTCTTTTAAATATATTCATGGCCAAATATGCATGTAGTTTTAGTTCTTACTGTTTCTTTGCATTCTTATTGCTTTTAAACTCTTTGTCCAGGGTTTGTCAATGAGGCAGATCAGATTCCGATTTGACGGGCAGCCAATCAATGAAACAGACACACCTGCACAGGTAAAAATGTCTTTGTGCTAACTAGAAAAACCAATGTTTTTTATAATTTTCTCAACAGCTTTGTTTATTAATTTGTGAACTTCTAGTCATTGGAATATAGTTCTTTTTTTCTTTTTTTTCTTTTTTTTTTTTTTTCCTGTACGCGGGCCTCTCACTGTTTTGGCCTCTCCCGTTGCGGAGCACAGGCTCCGGACGCGCAGGCTCAGCGGCCATGGCTCATGGGCCCAGCCGCTCAACGGCGTGTGGGATCTTCCCGGACCGGGGCACGAACCCGTGTCCCCTGCATCGGCAGGCGGACTCTCAACCACTGTGCCACCAGGGAAGCCCTATAGTTCTTTACCAGAGTTCAAAGCTGTGTAAAATATGGCCAAAAGGGAACAGAAAGAAAAAATAGATTCAGGAAGTGCCAATGGTTTTTAAATATTCAGTTATCACTTAGTAAAACTAGTAGGTCGTTTTACTTTAATCCATATTTTTCCTCTTGCCAGCATTATTTGAAAAAAAATAAATAAAATTCCTGTTTGTTACTTCAGAATGTTGTTTTCCTTTTGTTTTCATTGCTGCAGCTCTAAATCATACCCAGGGTTCCCCATAAGCGATTGGTTGGCTGTTTATCCTAACCATTTTAGCCCCTCATGAATTCTCTTGTACCTATACTTCGGAACTGAAGAGAATCTAGTGGCTCTAACTGCAAGTCTCTTGATAGCTTATGTTTCACAGGGCTGTTGGTAATAGGTGGCTTTCCAAACCCTTACTACAAAAGGTGTTGTCTGATCCCTTAATCTCTTTACTTATTACTTCAGTTGTTCTGTCACTTTGTAGGGGATCGGCTGGGCTATCTTCTTTAGCAGAAACTTTTTGTTTCTTTTTACCTTCTGAAATTCCATTTAAGACATTCTGTTTTGGGGGAAAAAACTTTGATAGCAGAAATTTTAAATTGGAGCCCTTGTCCTTTTGAATTTGTTTTATCACCCCATAAAAACTAGAAAGTGATAAATATGGTATGAGTGAAGCAGAAAATCCAGATTGTGGTTTTGTTGATAATCTTCAAAAACTTGAAATATCTATGAGTTATACTTGAGGGAAGAATATTTTGAAGAAATTTCTGTTGATGAGTCTCCAAGAAGCAATTATAGTATGTAGCCACAAGGAGGAGCTGAATTCTCTTGATGAATGAGAGAGAGAGAAAGCTCTCTTGTATCCTTTGAAGGCATTTAAAGTTTCACTATAAAATTGAAAAACATTCCAGTAGTTTCATTTCAGTGGATAGGCTGAAGACCAGTTTTGATGGATTTAAAAGAATAAAAAGAACCCATTATGCTAAACTCTGATGGTAATGTATTTTCTGTTTTTTGAAGCCCTCACCCACCGCCAAAAAAAAGTCTGGGACTTGTCTGTGATGCTGGCTGCAAATGATTATCCCTGAGGAGGGGTTGTCCAGGACCCACGTTTATAAATCTTCAGATTGAATTTGGAATTGGCCTCACTTTAGTATTTGGAGTTGAATTTATTTTTAGAGTGAAATTGATTCGTTTTAGAATTGTTCTTCCAGTACTTATTAAATAGCAGAATTGTATAAATTAGAACATCTGCTTAGCGGCCAATTTTAATAGCAGTGTAACTGTTATATACTCATTCTCTTAAGTACTTCACTTTCTTTGACTCATTTAGTTCTCATAACTGAATATTCCATTTTACAAATAGAGAATTGAGAGTCATTAATATTTTAATGCTTTAGTTCTTTTACTGTATTTGAACTTCATTAGAAACAGTTCCCTTTCCTGTCTTTAGATGCCCAAGGTTGTTGTTTTATCTTCAAAATTACCAGTTTTTAGAAAATTTTTCTTGGGTAATTATCAGCATTATAAACTGTTCCAAAGCTTGTTTACCTTACAGTGTTGCCATATGTACCAAGACCTTCTTGCTATCAACATGGTTTTATGTATAATGTGTGGGTAGTAAACCTTGCAAACTTAATAGCATTTTGAATTTTGATTTTTTTTTTTAACAAGTCTGTTTTTGCCCATGCTCCTCTTTTTTTTTTTAACATCATTATTGGAGTATAATTGCTTTACAGTGGTGTGTTAGTTTCTGCTTTATAACAAAGGGAATCAGTTACACATATACATATATTCCCATATCTCTTCCCTCTTGCGTCTCCCTCCCTCCCACCCTCCCTATCCCCACTCTATGCTCCTCTTCTTACTACATAGTGGTAACCACTGTTTTTTGCATAGGCAAAGATACATCCATATTATACACATACACACAAACTTAAAAATATATATACAAATATAGTACTATAAGCTGTTTGCTGCCTAGTTTTAAAATTTTTTTAGCCTAATACCATATATAAGGGATATTTCCATTTCTGCATGTGTAAATCTACTTATTCTTTAATAATAGGTACATGGTATTTCATGTATGCATGTACTATATTTTTGGGGGTTTTGATATTTTGGTTATTTTCAGTTTTTTGCTCATCTAAACAACATTGCAGTGAGAGCCTTTATAACACATCACTTTTATTTTCAATAATTAAAGGTGAGATGATTTAACTTATGGACATACTCAGCTTTTTAACTTAAAAACTCAATTTTCTGTAATCTTCATAAAAAAGACCAAGTGAAAAATTACTTAAACCTAAGTCTTATGCTACTTTAAGCTGTGGGACATTTAAAATAATGAACACTGGAACTGGGTGGGACTCGTGCAGATTTTCAGGCTATTTAAGTCTGATGGTTATAAATTTTAAGAGCTAAATAACCAATGGCTGATTGGTTTTTTTCTCATTTATGCTAGTTGGAAATGGAGGATGAAGATACAATTGATGTGTTCCAGCAGCAGACAGGAGGTGTCTACTAAAAAGGGAACCTGCTACTTTACTCCAGAATTCTGTTCCTCCAGACCAAGAAGACATTCTCAATTAGAAAACCGCAATTTGGTTCCACCACATCCTGACTACTGCAGTATAGTTTCTCTATTCTTTCATTTTCCCCTTCCCCATTCCTTTATTGTACATAAAGTAACTGGTGTATGTGCACAAGCATATTGCATTTTTTTTTTAACTAAATGGCCAACGGTATGTTTTGATCGACATCAAATGGAGATGGAATGGGGAAAAATACTGGTTCTGTGAAGATACCCCCTTTTCTCCATTAGTGGCATGCTCATCAGCTCTTATCTTTATATTCCAGTAAGTTATTTTGCTCTCACTGTTTAACAAAAAAAGAACAACATAAAAATTCTTGCATACCTTGTTCGATTGGAGAATTTTAATGTTTTTCATTTATCATTGTAAAACCAAGGACAATTTTATAACTTTTTTGTACGTAGCTGTTACATGTAGGGCAATCTGTCTTTAAGTAGGGATAAATTACTCTAAAAGAAATGAATCCTAGATAGTTTTCCCTTCAAGTCAAGCGTCTTGTTGTTTAAATAAACTTCTTGTTTAAAATGAGCTGTTTTCTTTATTCTGAGGAATATTAAATAGAAAGTTGAAGCTTAGAGAAAAACATGACCTGAATAGGCCTACTAGAAGTAACATTTCAAGGAAGGAATAAAGGTACTTTGCATTTCTGACAGACTAATGCAAAACAGGGAATAACAAGGTTATATAAATGACTAGTAAGGAATGTCCTGAGGCAGAGTGGGGTAGAACATGCAGCTAAGAAAAAATTCTAATTTTGCTGACTCTGCTGATAAATCACTTGACCATTCTAGTCCTCATTTTGTCTGATGGTAAATACTCCATAACCTAAAACAGTTTTTGTTCCTTATTTGAGGATGTTGAGGGACAGAAAATACTTACCTACGTATACCCATTCTTACAGCCTTAAATATGCAGATCCCTACAGCTTTTAAATTCAGATGTATGGGGAAAGATAACTAAAGAACCAATAAACAGAATATTGGAGCTGGAAAGATATGTAAAGATTATCTAGTTCTAACCCCTGTTTTAAAAAGGGCAAGGCTGAGGTCTAGAGCGTTATTCGTCACATAGTTAGATGGCTATGAAACTGGAACTTAGAGGTTAGGTTTTCTGATGCCTGTTAATTGAATTTTCCAATAATGGTTTTCAAGAGACTGAATTCCCACCCTTACTGCCTAACAATGTGGCCTTTTTGGATCAAGTCCCCATGAACTATCATGCCTTGTCATTCACTTAATTCACTCTACCTCTGTTGCAATATAGTCTTTTTTATATTCCCCATTTCTGTAGTGAATAAGCTTCCCCAGAGACAGCAGGAA